TCCTTCTAGTGCTGCCCCCTCCCCCCCCCCATGAATGCTGCTGTGCAGAGATATACAGGAGAGGGGGTAACGGGACGCTCTCAGATACCCCAGGTCAGGGTATCAATGTCATCGCAGCCAATACACACAACCTAGGAGCGGGGGAGGGATTTGGGGGAACGTGTTCCCCATCGGTGGCGGGGCGGTCACATCGGTCCTCTGATCTGGGAACGCAGCAATCTGGCGGGGTGCCGGAACGCGTTGATGTCGGTCTGTGTGCAGCTTGTAGGTGAGCAGCGCCCCCCGCTGGCCACCATGTGACTGCACACAGCCGGGTCATGCGAGGAGAGCAGCACAGCAGTGACATCACCAAATCCGAGCCTGAGATGATCTCACACTGCAGATATACAGCTCTGAGGATACAGAGCACCGATATCAGGGGGTGCCCAGGCACAGGAAGTGCACCGATATCGGGGGGTGCCCAGGCACAGGAAGTGCACCGATATCGGGGGGGGCCCAGGCACAGGAAGGGCACCGATATGGGGGGGTGCCCAGGCACAGGAAGTGCACCGATATCGGGGGGTGCCCAGGCACAGGAAGTGCACCGATATCGGGGGGTGCCCAGGCACAGGAAGTGCACCGATATCGGGGGGTGCCCAGGCACAGGAAGTGCACCGATATCGGGGGGTGCCCAGGCACAGGAAGTGCACCGATATCGGGGGGTGCCCAGGCACAGGAAGTGCACCGATATCGGGGGGTGCCCAGGCACAGGAAGTGCACCGATATCGGGGGGTGCCCAGGCACAGGAAGTGCACCGATATCGGGGGGTGCCCAGGCACAGGAAGTGCACCGATATCGGGGGGTGCCCAGGCACAGGAAGTGCACCGATATCGGGGGGTGCCCAGGCACAGGAAGTGCACCGATATCGGGGGGTGCCCAGGCACAGGAAGTGCACCGATATCGGGGGGTGCCCAGGCACAGGAAGTGCACCGATATCGGGGGGTGCCCAGGCACAGGAAGTGCACCGATATCGGGGGGTGCCCAGGCACAGGAAGTGCACCGATATCGGGGGGTGCCCAGGCACAGGAAGTGCACCGATATCGGGGGGTGCCCAGGCACAGGAAGTGCACCGATATCGGGGGGTGCCCAGGCACAGGAAGTGCACCGATATCGGGGGGTGCCCAGGCACAGGAAGTGCACCGATATCGGGGGGTGCCCAGGCACAGGAAGTGCACCGATATCGGGGGGTGCCCAGGCACAGGAAGTGCACCGATATCGGGGGGTGCCCAGGCACAGGAAGTGCACCGATATCAGGGGGTGCCCAGGCACAGGAAGTGCACCGATATCAAAGGGTGCCCAGGCACAGGAAGTGCACTGATATCAGGAGTGCCTAGGTACAGGAAGTGCACCAATTTTAGGGGAAGCCCAGGTACAGGAAGTGCACTGATATCAGGAGTGCCCAGGCACAGGAAGTGCACTGATATCAGGAGTGCCTAGGTACAGGAAGTGCACCGATTTTAGGGGAAGCCCAGGTACAGGAAGTGCACTGATATCAGGAGTGCCCAGGCACAGGAAGTGCACTGATATCAGGAGTGCCTAGGTACAGGAAGTGCACCGATTTTAGGGGAAGCCCAGGTACAGGAAGTGCACTGATATCAGGAGTGCCCAGGCACAGGAAGTGCACTGATATCAGGAGTGCCCAGGCACAGGAAGTGCACCGATTTTAGGGGAAGCCCAGGTACAGGAAGTGCACCGATTTTAGGGGAAGCCCAGGTACAGGAAGTGCACCGATATCAGGAGTGCCTAGGTACAGGAAGTGCACCGATATCAGGAGTGCCCAGCCACAGGAAGTGCACCGATTTTAGGGGAAGCCCAGGCACAGGAAGTGCACCGATTTCAGGGGGTGCCCAGGCACAGGAAGTGCACCGATATCAGGAGTGCCTAGGTACAGGAAGTGCACCGATTTTAGGGGAAGCCCAGGCACAGGAAGTGCACCGATTTCAGGGGGTGCCCAGGCACAGGAAGTGCACCGATATCAGGGGGTGCCAAGGCACAGGAAGTGCAGGGATCTCAGGTGGGCCTAGACACAGGAAGTGCAGGGATCTCAGGTGGGCCTAGACACAGGAAGTGCAGGGATCTCAGGTGGGCCTAGACACAGGACGTGCACGGATCTCAGGTGGGCCTAGACATAGGACGTGCACGGATCTCAGGTGGGCCTAGAAACAGGAAGTGCAGAGATCCCAGGTGGGCCTAGACACAGGACGTGCAGGATCTCAGGTGGGCCTAGACACAGGAAGTGCACGGATCTCAGGTGGGCCCAGACACAGGAAGTGCACGGATCTCAGGTGGGCCCGGACACAGGAAGTGCACGGATCTCAGGTGGGCCCGGACACAGGAAGTGCACGGATCTCAGGTGGGCCTAGACACAGGAAGTGCACAGCTATTTTTCAGGGGGGATTCCGGACACAATGTGAACTTTCAGGGCAGTTCCGGGTGTTTCTTGTAGGCGACGTCCATATTTAGGGAATTTGGGCTCTTCTTTGCTGATACATTTTGGTCGGACAGAAATGAGGAGGCGGAGCCAGGCGGTGTATGGAAGTTAGTGTTTATTGACGTGATTGGTTGAACATTCCACACGACACAGGAAGGGATCTGGCGGGATCTGTGCATAGTGCAGTAGAAATGAGACGAGGAAGAAAACAATTCAATGGAATAGAAGAGACGCACGACCACCGGTTACCAGAACCTCCAAAATCAGCTGAGAATGGGATCCGAGATGATGATGGCGGCGCAAAAACGCAATGTTACAAGCGGTAGAGACGCGGGGGGCGGAGTTTACACTATCTGCAGATTCCCCCTCTTTACCTTTGCTAAGCGGGATTTCCTGTCTGCGCTACGCCACGCAGTGTTCAGTTACTTCTGGACCCGAAACCATAAACGCTGGTCAGCGCCACCCCGACATGCGACGCCATCCGACATCTCGTTCTCGGCACCAATCGCAGATGACGCGGAGCGGACGAGTGAGTAAAGTGCAATATTACCTATTTGGCAAGGCAAGCCCGCTCAGAAGCCGCCCCCCCACCCATGGTCATCGGCCATGCGCAGATGCGGCAGCACGCCTGTGCTGCCACATAAATGCATAGGGCCGGTGCTGTTGTTCTGTGCTCGGAGCGCGCACGGTTGCACGCCCCAGCAAGGTGATTTCATAGTCACGTGGTCACAGACTACCAATCACATGATAGGGAAAGCCCATGCAACGCTGGAGGTGTTTTGATTTCTTAAATGGCCGGGAAGGGATTCAAGATTAACACTCTTTAAAAAAACAAAAAAAACGCCGGCACGAGTATTGGTACCGAGAACAAGAACGGTCGCCACCGACCCAACTAACAAGATACTGACCGAGAAGCCAAAAATATATATCAGTAGTATGTTTGAGCTTTTCACAAGCGGAATTTATAAGAAAAAAACAAAATATCTGCCAAGATATTCCGCGAGGAGACGTCAGCTGACCGTGGGCGTGGCCATGACCCCCCTCCTCCTCAACAGGAAGTCAGTCACAAACCGCCATTTCCTAACCACTCCC